GTCTACACTGGCCCTCTTGCGCAAAAGCATTTGCGCAAGAGACTTTTGCCCGAACGGAAGCAGCATAGCATTTCCGCAAGAACACTGACAATCTTACGTGAGATCGTCAGTGTTCTTGCAGAAATTCAAGCAGCCAGTGTAGACAGCTGGCAAGTTTTTCCGCAAAAGCAGCCAGTCTATAGACAGCCAGTCTAGACTTGCCGGTCTAGACACAGCCCTTGAGCTTAGGTCAAAATACACATATAGTGTGGTTCTCCCTTTACAATAGATAATTTCCCATTTTGGTACTCTAAAGTGCTATAGGACTATTCTTCTCATCACTGCTGGGGATTAGCCACATCCATTCTGATTTAATTAGCACTGTTCGCATGGTCCCATCTTTCTTTGGGTGTGTCTAGACTACCTAGTTTTGTCGACAAAAGTCCACTTTTGTCGACAAAAGTATACCAGCGTCTACACTACCCCTGAGTTCTGTCGACATAACGTCAACAGAACTCAGCAGTTTTGTCAACGCTGGTATACCTCAGTTTACAAGACATAACACCTTCTGTCGACAGAGTTCTGTCGACAGAAGGTGTTATTGCCTGTAGGGTTGCGTCTAGACTAAAGGGTTCTGTCGACAAAGCAGCTTGCTTTGTCGACAGAACTCAATGTGTCTGGACGCTCTTTGTCAACGGAAGTTTTGTCGACAGTATCTGTCGACAAAACTTCCGTCAACAAAACGCGGTAGTCTAGACGTACCCTTTCTTTCTTTCTTTCTTTCTTTCTTTCTTTCTTTCTTTCTTTCTTTCTTTCTTTCTTTCTTTCTTTCTCATCTGAAGTGAGTTGTAGTTCATGAAAGCTAAGGCTCTAATACATTTCTTAGCCATTAAAGTGCCACTGGACGCCTTGTTGATTTTTGCTGAAACAAGCTAACACGGCTACTTCTCTGAAACCTGAATATTGGTGGGATTTTGGATTTAACGGGCCATCACAAAAGGAAGCTTACCAAGGTGGCAAGGAAGTCCAGCGTTTCTAAGGGGGCTGCATGGGAATTCATGGTTAAGTGCATGAGGACTTTATGCTTAAAATCTGGTTGGTAAAATCTCAGGTTACACTATGCCCCCCGTCTACCTAAGATACGCAATATCAGCTGTGTAAATAGTTTAGCTGAAGTCAACGTACTTAAACCTATTTACTGCAGCGTCTTCCATGCAGTAAGGTCAGTGACTGATACTCTTCCATCTACTCTGCCTACTCTTCTCGTCCTGGCGTGGACAAAAGAGCACTCAGAGGTTGATTCTTCATGTCTAAGCAGACACGCTAAATTGATCGCCACAGCAGTGATCCACCATGTCGTGGAGACAAGCCCAAACTATACAACTGCACTGGGGTTTGGGCCCTGGGTTGTTCTAGTCTGCCCCAAGGTTGGCATTCATGCTCCTGAGCCGCTGAACGGCAGCTTGACACTAACCCAAATTTCCCATGCTGCAGATTAAGCCCCTTAGTTCTTGTCTGACCTTCAGTGGCATGGAGACCCATTGAGCGCCGTCCTTGCTATACCAGAATTTAATGCAGAGGGGGGGAAACCTACAGTCCATTGAGCGCCGTCCTTGCTATACCAGCCTTTAATGCGGGGGGAGGGGGGAACCTACAGCCCAGGAGATGGATTTAGCCTTGGAGCTCATTTTTGGCCCCACCCTGGAGACTAAGGGGCCCACAAAAATCTATTAGCCGGGTCCCCCAGACTCTGGTCTGCAAGAGGAATGTGGAGAGTCCCCCACCCTGGAGACTAAGGGGCCCACACAAATCTATTAGCCGGGTCCCCCAGGTTCTGGTCTGCAAGAGGAACGTGGCGAGCGTCTCTCTCTTTCTCAGTTGAAAGCCATACGAGTGAGGGGGTTTTGTTTTTCTATTGGGGAGGTTGCTGGTCACTTCTGTGTGGCCCCTGAATGATTTTTCTGTGGGGGGGAGGGTTCCCTACCCCTGCCTTCATGTATTGGACGACCGTGATCATGTCTGCCCCCTCCATCTTCTTTTCTCATGGCTAAACCTTCCCAGATTTTTTAACCGTTCCGCATGGATCAGGCAGGTTTCCAAACCTTTTGTTGGTATTACTTGCCTCCGGATTCGCGCCAATTTATCCACGTCTTTCCTAAAGCTGTTTCAGGGCTCTTCTTTGATTCCATTGCCCCCAAAATAATAAAAAGGAACCCTTTGGCAGAGGTAGATTTTGCGTCTATTTCTCCCACGTGCTGGAATCAAACTTCCAGGGACCAGCTGTCACTTGGGTTCTGTGGTTGTAAGCTGTTTCCTTCAGGGGGATTTTCCCACAGACTGTGGGGGGTGGTTCCCATGGCCAGTGAACCCCCTCCCCCCACCCTCCTTCATCAGTAACCCCTTCTTCCAGCACCCTCCCTCCTGTAACCCAGATTTCCAGCATATGGGGCAAAGAAACTGATTTAAAGAAACTTGAATACTGCGTACAGATGTGGTCACCTCATCTCAAAAAAGATATATTAGCATTGGAAAAGGTTCAGAAAAGGGCACCTAAAATGATTAGGGGTTTGGAAAGGGTCCCATATGAAGAGAGATTTAAAAGACTGGGACTTTTCAGCTTAGAAAAGAGGCGACTAAAGAGGAGGGGGTTATGACAGAGGGCTATAAAATCATGACTGGCGAGGAAAAAGTGAACAAGGAAAAGTTATTTACTTGTTCCCATAATATAAGAACTAGGGGTCACCAAATGAAATGAACAGGTAGCAGGTTTAAAACAAACAGAAGGAAGTTTTTCCTTCACTCAATCTGTGGAACTCCTTGCCAGAGGATGTGGTGAAGACTAGGACTTAAACAGGGTTAAAAAAAGAGCTAGATAAGTTCATGGAAGTTAGGTTCATCAATGGCTATTAGGCAGGATGGGTAGGGATGGTGCCCTTAGCTTCTGTTTGTCTGGGAATGGGTGACAGGGGAGAGATCACGTGATGATTACCTGTTCTGTTCCCTCCCTCTGGGGCACCTGGCATTGGCCATTGTCAGCAGACAGGATACTGGGCTAGATGGACCTTTGGTCTGACCCAGTACGGCCTTTCTTATGCTCTTATTTCCTCTCCCCCCTTCACATCCATTGTCACATTGGTGTGACTGGTTTGCGGCCCGCTGGGTTGTTTTCATGTTGCTTTCGCCTTCTTCATACTGGGAGGGGGTGTGTGTGTGTGAAGTAAACAGGGCATCAAAGCCTAAACAATAATCATAATCTGGCCTTGCTCGTCATCAAAACATGCAGAAAAAGCAAGCCAGGGTGTGTGAGGGAAAGCACAAGGCTGCCGTGGAAGTCGGGCCTCCCCCGGTACCTTGCCTGCCAGTAATAAGGGAAGATAAGGGGTTGCTATGGGAACCAAGCATCCAGAGGAATGGGAAGGAGTAAGGCCTAGACAGAGTCTGCAAGACCAGTGCCCGTGGCCAACAGCCTCCCAGTTCCCGGCAGCTGCTTGGAGGCATTCTCTGCTTTTCTAAGGGCAGGAAGGGCCATGCGGCTTCTAGCCACAGGGCAGCGGGGAAGGGGGGAGGAGGGAAGAGAAGATTTTTGCAAAAACACGGGCCAAGTCATCCCTACCCCCACATCCCCCAGTGGCTGGAAGCAACTCGGGTGCGCCTACGCTGCACCGTCGCGCAGAATAAGCAACGCAAATGGCGTATCCACTTTCGATCTTATTTCAAAAGAGCTTCTTTCATCATTCGGCGGCGTCTAGGTTGGGTGAGGTGGGTTGGCCACTCTCATGTGACAGAGGTCTACAGGAGTGCGCGTGTCACCTCTCCCCATGCAAACATTAAACGTAAGACGGTAAAAAGCCCAGCTACACAGGGTTTCTTTTTATCGGGGGCTCAGTCCACGCGGTGTTAATTTGCATGTGAGCACATCGTTCTCACTGCAGAGGGGGTAGATGAGTCAGTCTAGAACAGGAAAAACTTAAAAAACAACAAATAGTCTAGTAGCACCATAAAGACTAACAAAACATGGAGATGGGATCATGAGCTTTCGTGGGCGCAACCCACTTCTTCAGATGACTGGAGTATTAGAAGTCCGGAGCCAAGAATAAGTAAGGGAAGGGAGAGCGGGGATAAGAGTTCCTTGTCTACCCTACACACAATCCTAGAATCCTAGGGCTGGAAGAGACCTCAGGAGCGGTCAAATCCAACCCCCTGCGGAAAGTAGGACCAGACCGAACTATATCATCCCAGCCAGGGCTTTGTCAAGCCAGGACTTAAAAACCTCTAGAGTTGGAGATTCCATCCCCTCCCTAGGGAACCTATCCCAGTGCTTCCCCACCCTCCTAGGGAAATAGTTTTTCCTAATATCCAACCTAGACCTCCCCCGCTGTAACTTGAGACCATTGCTCCTTGTTCTGCCATCCATCACTACTGGGAACAGCCTCTCTCCATCCTCTTTGGAACCTCCCTTCAGGAAGTTGAAGGCTGCTATCAAATCCCCCCTCACTCTTCTGCAGACTAAATAAGCCCAAATCCCTCAGCCTCTCTTTGTAGATCATGTGCTCCAGCCCCCTCATCATATTGTTTGCCTTCCGCTGGATCCTCTCCAATGTGTCCACATCCTTTCTATAGTGGGGGGCCCAGAACTGGACACAATACTCCAGATGTGGCCTCTCCTGTGCCGAATAAAGGGGAATAATCACTTCTCTAGATCTGCTAGAAATGTTCCTCCTTATGCACCCCAATATGTAATTCGCTTTCTTGGCTACCAGGGCACACTGTTGACTCATATCCAGCTTCTCATCCACTGTAATCCCCAGGTCCTTTTCTGCTGAACTGTGCCAAACTTTTAGACTCTAAAAGCTAAAGGTTTTTTTTTTTTTTTTAAAGAAAAAAGGGGGGAAAAAAGAGAGAAAAAGAGAAAAGGAGGAAAAAAGAAAAAAGAGAAAAAAAGAAAAAGGGAACAAAAGAGAGAAAAAAGAGAAGAGAGGAAAAAACAAAAAAAGGAAAAAGAAAAAAAAGAAAGAGAAAGAGAAAAAAAGAAAAAAGGGGAAAAAAGAAAAAAAGAAAAGAGAGAAAAGGAAAAAAGAAAAGGAGTGAGCGGTAGAGCGGTGAAAGGAATCAAACACATACACCAATAGTCACGTTCTTGGTGCAGGCCCGTAGCAGAGATGGACCAAACTGCTGTCTTAAATCAAGTCTCTGAAACACGTCCTCTGTTAGGATGGCTCATCAGTCCTTTCAAGCTTCGGTTCAGAGCAGGGATCATTTAGAGGGGATGGTCTGGATTGGGGACAAACGGAGGAACCCCCAGGGTCCTTTTTATAGCCTTTCCCACGGGGAGGGACTCCCATTGTTCTCACTGTGTAAAAGTATGTCCCAGGGTGGAGTTTGTCACATGAGCAAGTCACCCTGCCCATGAATGACTCAGTCCTTTTTAGGCAGACCCCACGGCTCGCATTCCAGATTGAAGGTTTGCAGGGAAGTCCATTCAGAGTAGTTGGTAATTCCCGTGCTATATTGTTCTTTGAATGTTGCTTGATGGGTCAATCAACCTGACAAGTCTTTCCCAGACATGCTGGCTGGCTACTCAGCAGGTGTGACTCCAGGGGCTGATGTCTGAAAAACAGCCACACGGCTAATGTCCATATCGTCGTGCACAAAAATGACCCGTGTACACCGACAGTATAAACAGAATCAGCAAATCGTACACTTTCTAGAGACATCTCACTTGGCCCACTCTGTATAAGATTTGGGGCAAACATAAGAGTGGTTGGATCCATGATCTGTACGTTCGTATTACAATCCAGCAACGTCACACCTTCTTATACAGTGTTTCTTAAACTTTTTGGCTACGTCTAGACTGGCATGATTTTCCAGAAATGCTTTTAACGGAAAAGTTTTCCGTTAAAAGCATTTTCGGAAAAGCACGTCTAGATTGGCAGGACGCTTTTCCGCAAAAGCACTTTTTGCGGAAAAGCGTCCGTGGCCAATCTAGATTCACTTTTCCGCAAAAAAGCCCCGATCGCCATTTTCGCGATTGGGGCTTTTTTGTGGAAAACAAATCTCAGCTGTCTACACCGGCCCCTTTGCACAAAAGTTTTTCGGAAAAAGACTTTTGCCTGAACGGGAGCAGCATAGCATTTCCGCAAAAAGCACTGATTTCTTACAGTAGGAAGTCAGTGCTTTTGCAGAAATTCAAGCGGCCAGTGTAGACAGCTGGCAAGTTTTTCCGGAAAAGCGGCTGAACACCAAACAATAACATTTTTTTAATGCGGAACACCTATGAAAATTTTCTTCCCCCAAAAATTGTTGTCAGACCAAAAAAAAAGACAAAAACAAAGAAGTAACAGAAACAACAAAGAGGTCATGGTAGACCTGCAAGATGTTCACGGAAAATCAGTGTTCTGCGGAACACAGTTTAAGAAACACTGTTCTTATAGAATCATGCTATTGTCAGAAATCGTAATGTTATCCTAAGGAAAGGAGCCCTTGCTGGATGGCCAATTTTACCACAAGCCCTCAGGGGTGTGACCTGGTGGGAGGTGGGGACTGCTGTACACATGAGATGCTCAGGGTTGGTCTAGACTAGAAGTGGAGAAGATCTGGTCAAGATCAGGGGAAATCATGCCATCTATCAACTCCAACCAGTTTTCCCTCTCAAGACAACTCTCAAAGGCCGACAGGCCTCTCTGCAAAACAGCCAGAGCTGCAGCAAGAAGGAGGGACTGATAGTTACTCTCTGACATGGGAAAAAGTTGTGAGCTCTGAATGAAATATTTCCCATGTTCAAAGCATCTCTGCGTTTGCTTTGGGTCCTCTGCTGTGAACTAAGAACTAAACTCTGAGTGAAACTCTTCCCACGGTCCAGGCATTTATAGAAGCCATCTCCCCTGTATGTTCCTGATGTGACTTGTCACTCAACTTTTCTCTCAGTAAAGATTTTTAGGGGGATTTCTCACCTATGGGTTCTCTGATGTCTCGTCATGTTTGAGCGCTTATTAAACCTGTTCCCACAGTCGGGGCATTTATAGGGCTTCTCTCCCGTATGGATTCTCTGATGTGCAATAAGATGCCCTGATTCAGAAAACTTTTTCCCACAATCAATACACTTGTAGGGTCTTTCTCCAGTGTGGGTTCTCTGATGTATATTCAGTTGTGATTTGTCACTATACGTTTTTCCACAGTCTGGGCACTTCTGAAGTTTTTTTCTTGTGTGGATTCTCCGATGTCTACACAGGCTTGAATGATGATTAAAGTTTTTGCCACAGTCAGGACATTTATAGGATATTTCTCGTGTATGGATTTGCTGATGGATAATAAGGTTTGTGTTTTGAAGGAATCGTTTCCCACAGTCAAGGCATTTATAGGGTTTCTCACCCGTGTGGGTCTTCTGATGTGCAAGAAAGTGTGAGCTGGCATAAAAGCTTTTCCCGCACTCGAGGCATTGATACGGTCTCTCTCCCGTGTGTGTTCTCTGATGTGCAAGAAGGTATGAATTGCCACAAAAACTTTTCCCACACTCAAGGCATTTAAAGCGTGTATCCTCTCTGTGGATATTCTGATGTTGCTTAAGTCGTGATTTCTCATTAAATTCTTTCCCACACTCAGTGCATTTATACGGTGTCTCTCCTGTATGAATCTTCTGATGTCGAATTAGGTTTGACCTCTGATTAAAACTCTTTCCACAGTCCTGGCATTTATGCAGTTTCTCTCTCTTGTGGATTCTATGATGGGAAATAAGATGTGAGCACTGACAAAACGTCTTTCCACTGCAAAGGCATTTGTAAGAGTTCTCTCCACCATGGGTTCTTTGAGGCACATTAAATTCTGTTTGATCACTAAGTATTTCCCCACCATCAAGGCATGTAGAAGGTTTCAATCTCATGTGTATTTTCTGGTGTCTAGTCAAGTTGGAACTGCAACTGAATTTTTTCCCACAGTCATGGCAATTATAGGGTGTTTCTCCAGTGTGGATTTGCTGATGTGCAATGAGATTTGTACTATTAAGGAATCTTTTCCCACACTCGAGGCATTTATAGGGCTTCTCTCCCGTGTGAGTTTTCTGGTGTGCAAGAAGTTGGGAGTTGTCATAAAACTCTTTTCCACACTCAGGGCATTTGTAGGGCTTCTCGCCCGTGTGAGTTCTCTGGTGTGCAAGAAAGTGGAAGTTTTCACAAAACCCTTTTCCACACTCAGGGCATTCATACCGTGTCTCTCCTGTATGGGTCCTCTGATGTCGAATTAGGTTTGACTTCCAACTGAAACTCATCCCACAGTCCTGGCATTTGTACGGTTTCTCTCCCGTGTGGGTTCTGTGATGTGAAATAAGATCTGAACTCTTAGAAAAAGTCTTCCCACAGTCAAGGCAGTTATAGGGCTTTTCTCTCATGTGGGTTCTCTGATGCGTAATAAGATGTGCTTGGTCACAAAATTTTAGCCTACAAACAATACACTTATAAGTTCTTTCTCTACTGTTGGTTTTTGGATGCACAGTAAGTTGTGATTTGTCACTAAATTTTTCTCCACTATCAGGGCATGTGTGAGGTTTTTCTCTCGTGTGGATCTTCCGGTGTCTAGTCAGGTTTGAACGCCTATTGAACGTTTTCCCACACTCAGGGCACGTATAGGGCATTTCTCTGGAATGGATTCGCTGATGCACAATAAGATTTGAGCGCCGAAGGAATCTTTCTTCACACTCAAGGCATTTATAGGGGTTTTCACCATTGTGTGTTTTCTGGTGTGTAAGCAACCGTGATCTCAAACGGAAACTCTTCCTGCACTTTGTGCATGGGTTTTTTCTCTCTTGTGGGTGTATTCCCTCGTGGGCAGGGCTTTCCTTGAGGTCCATGCAGTCTTCTTCACAAGTCATGGATTCAGGCACTTCCTTCCGCAGCTGGTTTGTCTCAGACGCGCCTCGGCTCTCACAGGATGTTGCTTGGTCGACACTCCAGGAAGTGTTATGTTCATATCTTTTTGATTCTCCCCCATGGAGTTCCATCTGCGCGGGGCTTTCCTGCTGGGAATTCTTTTCCTTCTTACACACCTTCCCTTCGTGTGCTGGGACAGAGAGAGAATCCAGAGTCATTCTCCAAGCCAGGTTGAAAGGGAAGCATGGGGAACAGCCGAGAGGTGAAAGACAACACTGTCAGGGTGGTTAAACACTGGAATGAGTTGCCTAGGGAGGTTGTGGAATCTCCATCTCTGGAGATATTTAAGAGCAGGTTAGATAAATGTCTGTCGGGGATGGTCTAGACCCGAGGTCACCAACCTGTTGATTGCGATTGATTGGTCAATAGCGAGGGCTTGATCGCAAGGCGTTTGGGCATACGGTCTCTCTCCCGTGTGTGTTCTCTGATGTGCAAGAAGGTATGAATTGCCACAAAAACTTTTCCCACACTCAAGGCATTTAAAGCGTGTATCCTCTCTGTGGATATTCTGATGTTGCTTAAGTCGTGATTTCTCATTAAATTCTTTCCCACACTCAGTGCATTTATACGGTGTCTCTCCTGTATGAATCTTCTGATGTCGAATTAGGTTTGACCTCTGATTAAAACTCTTTCCACAGTCCTGGCATTTATGCAGTTTCTCTCTCTTGTGGATTCTATGATGGGAAATAAGATGTGAGCACTGACAAAAAGTCTTCTCACTGCAAAGGCATTTGTAAGAGTTCTCTCCACCATGGGTTCTTTGAGGCACATTAAATTCTGTTTGATCACTAAGTATTTCCCCACCATCAAGGCATGTAGAAGGTTTCAATCTCATGTGTATTTTCTGGTGTCTAGTCAAGTTGGAACTGCAACTGAATTTTTTCCCACAGTCATGGCAATTATAGGGTGTTTCTCCAGTGTGGATTTGCTGATGTGCAATGAGATTTGTACTATTAAGGAATCTTTTCCCACACTCGAGGCATTTATAGGGCTTCTCTCCCGTGTGAGTTTTCTGGTGTGCAAGAAGTTGGGAGTTGTCATAAAACTCTTTTCCACACTCAGGGCATTTGTAGGGCTTCTCGCCCGTGTGAGTTCTCTGGTGTGCAAGAAAGTGGAAGTTTTCACAAAACCCTTTTCCACACTCAGGGCATTCATACCGTGTCTCTCCTGTATGGGTCCTCTGATGTCGAATTAGGTTTGACTTCCAACTGAAACTCATCCCACAGTCCTGGCATTTGTACGGTTTCTCTCCCGTGTGGGTTCTGTGATGTGAAATAAGATCTGAACTCTTAGAAAAAGTCTTCCCACAGTCAAGGCAGTTATAGGGCTTTTCTCTCATGTGGGTTCTCTGATGCGTAATAAGATGTGCTTGGTCACAAAATTTTAGCCTACAAACAATACACTTATAAGTTCTTTCTCTACTGTTGGTTTTTGGATGCACAGTAAGTTGTGATTTGTCACTAAATTTTTCTCCACTATCAGGGCATGTGTGAGGTTTTTCTCTCGTGTGGATCTTCCGGTGTCTAGTCAGGTTTGAACGCCTATTGAACGTTTTCCCACACTCAGGGCACGTATAGGGCATTTCTCTGGAATGGATTCGCTGATGCACAATAAGATTTGAGCGCCGAAGGAATCTTTCTTCACACTCAAGGCATTTATAGGGGTTTTCACCATTGTGTGTTTTCTGGTGTGTAAGCAACCGTGATCTCAAACGGAAACTCTTCCTGCACTTTGTGCATGGGTTTTTTCTCTCTTGTGGGTGTATTCCCTCGTGGGCAGGGCTTTCCTTGAGGTCCATGCAGTCTTCTTCACAAGTCATGGATTCAGGCACTTCCTTCCGCAGCTGGTTTGTCTCAGACGCGCCTCGGCTCTCACAGGATGTTGCTTGGTCGACACTCCAGGAAGTGTTATGTTCATATCTTTTTGATTCTCCCCCATGGAGTTCCATCTGCGTGGGGCTTTCCTGCTGGGAATTCTTTTCCTTCTTACACACCTTCCCTTCGTGTGCTGGGACAGAGAGAGAATCCAGAGTCATTCTCCAAGCCAGGTTGAAAGGGAAGCATGGGGAACAGCCGAGAGGTGAAAGACAACACTGTCAGGGTGGTTAAACACTGGAATGAGTTGCCTAGGGAGGTTGTGGAATCTCCATCTCTGGAGATATTTAAGAGCAGGTTAGATAAATGTCTGTCGGGGATGGTCTAGACCCGAGGTCACCAACCTGTTGATTGCGATTGATTGGTCAATAGCGAGGGCTTGATCGCAAGGCGTTTGGGCCCCTCCCATTTCCCCCCACCCCCAAGAAGCCCCACTACCTACCTCCAGCCACAATAGAGGTAGTGCTGGCTTCCTGCGGGGTGGATGGAAGTCCTGCAGCTGCGTACCACTTCTGGGGGTTCCAGAAGTGCGCCGGCTACTCCCCTCCCCCAGGTCTGTGGCATGCTGGGAACTTGTGGGGGGTGGGGGGAGTCCCCAGAGGAGGTGCATGCTGGGAGTCGGCCCCGGAGGAGGTGTGTGCCGGGGCTTCCCTGCTCTGCGGGAGGGGGGAATCGTCCCTGGAGGAGGCATGTGCTGCGGGGGGAGAAGGGAGTCCCGGGAGGAGGCAGATGCAAGGAACTCACTGTCCACTGCCCCCAGAAACACCCTGTCCCCTGATGCAGAACCATGTCCCCTGCCACCCTGTCCCCCACTGGCACCCTGCCTCCACCCAGCACCCTGTTCCCTGCCCCTACTGGCACCCTGTCCCAGCACCCACTAGCACCCTTCCCCAGTACCATGTCCCCTGCTCCCACCAGCACAGCTGAGGCTACATTAGTGAGGCTTGGGGAGTTTTTGGAGTTGTTGTTGTTTTGCATCTCGCTTGTGTGAATTTTCTGTGGGTCAATGACCCCTGACTCAAACCGGGTTCCCTGCCCTTCTCATAAATAAAGACAATGCAGAAACTTTTTGTGTTAGACATAGTATTTTATTTAAAAATGAAACCTGGCCAACAAACCCCCAATTGGGGCCAAGCCCCCATCTGGCTGCATCATCATAACACTCCTGCACCCACCCTCCCCCCTGACTCCAGATCTGAGCCTATCATACACTGGACTCCCCCTGCCCTGAGTCCCTCACATACCCCAAACCAAATTCCTGCACCCTCACATCCACAAGCCTGTAGCTTGCTTAGTACCCCAACCCTCCCTCACAAACCCCCAATTGGGGCCAAGCCCCCATCTGGCTGCATCATCATAACACTCCTGCACCCACCCTCCCCCCTGACTCCAGATCTGAGCCTATCATACACTGGACTCCCCCTGCCCTGAGTCCCTCACATACCCCAAACCAAATTCCTGCACCCTCACATCCACAAGCCTGTAGCTTGCTTAGTACCCCAACCCTCCCTCTGACCGCAACACTCCCCAGCCTGGAACCCCCTCCCCGAGTCAGCATCCCCTTCTCCCCCTCCTCCTGCATCCAAATTTCCTCCCAGAGCTTGCACCTCTCACCCTTTTTTTCCGGAATAACTTGCCAGCTGTCTACACTGGCCCCTTGAATTTCCGGAAAAGCACTGACGATCTACTGTAAGAAATCAGCTGATTTTCCGGAAATACTATGCTGCTCCCGTTCGGGCAAAAGTCCTTTTTCCAGAAAACTGTTCCGGAAAAGGGCCAGTGTAGACAGCACAGTAGTGTTTTCCACAAAAAAGCCGCGATCACGAATATGACAATCGGGGCTTTTTTGCGGAAAAGCGCATCTAGATTGGCCACGGACGCTTTTCCGGAAAAAGTGCTTTTCCGGAAAAGCATCCTGCCCATGCAGACGCGTTTTTTCCGGAAATACTTAACATCCTGTCTCAACACAGCAAGGGTCCAGCTAGACTGCAGGAGTTTTTCAGGATTCTGGAGATATCCCAGAAAAACTCTTCTGCATCCAGGGTTGTGTTTGTTCTTCCGCTTTTTTAGTGAAAGAGCAAACATGCTCTTTTGGTAACCCCTGTATTCCTCATTCCATGAGGAATAAGGGAGCTTCTGAAAGAAGGCATTTTTCTGACATTTGGTCCAGTCTAGATAGGCCAAATGTTGGAAAAATCTCTTTCTACAGAAGAATAAAAAAAAGTGGCAGAGTATATAAGGGCTGGGGATAGCTAGTGATGGAGAGGAGGAGAATAGAGAGGGTGGCGTTTCATGGAAGGGGTGGCTTCTTGTGGGAAGGATGCGGCAATAGATCTTGGCTTGTTCTGACATTTAAAAAGTGCTCTTGGCTGTAAAAAGTTTGGAGATCACTGGTCTAGACAGTACTGGGTCCTGCCATGAGGGCAGGGGACTGGACTCAATGACCTCTCGAGGTCCCTTCCAGTTCTAGTGTTCTATGATTCTACGAACACAGAATCAGCTTGGGAGACTGAGAAAGGTGAAATGTACTTACCCATGGTTCATTTCGGCTCAGCTGAAATTGTATCCCTCCTCTCCGATCTACCAGCTGTTAGCTCCCTTGACTGCACGTGCAAAGTGAGACCTGAGGTTTCAAAGGATCACACTGAGCAATGGGAGAATTTTTGACAACCTCGTGGGTCCCATTTTTGTACGTCTTAAAATTCCTAAAAAATCTCATGCTTCAGGGATCAGCCTGTCACCTGCAGGAGTCAGGAAGGCATCCTCCTCACCCCCAAACCGTTTACTCTTTTCCACTCCTTTTCTCCTACCTGGTGAAGCATCAGAGGCTATGTCTAGACTGCAGGCTTCTTTCAGAAGCTTTTCTGGAAGAGATCTTCCAAAAAAACTTCTCCCAAAAGAGAAAGTGTACACAGCAAAAGTGCATTGGAAAAGTGATCTACTTTTTTGAAAGATGATTACTATGGACGGAGTGGCCACCAGGGCACTTATGCTTTTTCCTCTTTCCTCTTCTTTTGAAAGAACTTTCTCTTCCTCGTCCACACATGCCTTTTTCCAAAAAAGATTTTTCGGAAAAAGTCTTCTTCCTCATAGAAAGAGGTTTACCAATGTTTACCCCTCTGTTCTTTCGATTTTTTTTTCCGAAAGAATGCGATTGCAGTGTGGACGTAAGAGAATTTAAAAAAAAAAACAATGCGATTGCAGTGTGGACGTAAGAGAATTTTTTTTTTTTTTTAAACGGTCGTTTTTCCGAAAAAACTCTGCAGCGTAGACATACCCAGAGAGTGGGGACATTGATAGTGCAGAGTGATATTGAAAGGTGGTATGGGAATTCTTTATCTTGGGCAGGTCTACACTTCGCTGGAGATCAGTGTTGTGGCAACTGATTTAGTGGGTCTAGTAAAGACCCACTAAATCAATCACCGATTATTCATCACCTTTGGTATTCCACCAGAACAGAAGTGTAAGGGAAGTATGAAATTTTCTCCCATCAGCCCTCGCAGCAGAGATCCTGCAGCAACTCAACCTCAAGTACAACTCCAGATACACTAGTCACGTAGCTGGAGTTGCGGAACTTAAGTCGACATTGCCCCATAGTGTAGACCTGCCCTCAGGTTGGTGGGTCTTACTGGCATGCGCTGGGTCTAAATGATCACTGTATTTGAGGTTAGAAAGGAATTTTCCCTCAGATCAGTTTGGCAGGGACAGCGTGAGGAGTGGGGTTGCCCCCTGGGTAAATCTCAAATCCCTGCCATGGCAGATGCAGCTGGAACTGGGGTACACGAGTCCCACCTGATTTTGCCCATGGGATGCCACGGCGTAGTGTCTGGAGAGTTATAACATTCTGGTCCAATTCGGCTGGCTGGGTTTTGTGAGCGTCTCTCCGGCTGGGAACAGATTCTGGGAAGAGAAAGCCACAGCTCGTGGGTGTCTGGAGAGTCATTTGCTGTAAGGCCAGGTTGCCCTCACCCTTCCCCTAGACTTTTTCATAGATCTGTATGTGCTAGGATATTTTCCACTCCTTCCTCTTGTCAGGGAAAGTGTGGGAGTCACCAGGCCCTGCACCTCCACCTGCAGTCAGATGTTCCGCCCAGGCAGCAGGTAGAACAGAGGTTTATTGGTTCACAGGGACACAGCGGAGCACAGACGTGTTAACACAAGAACCAGAAGCCGTCAGTACAACCCATCTTGGGGATAGGGCAGCCCAGAGCCCCGCCACCCAAGCCAGCTAGACTCCCCTCTCCCTAAGCCAGTGAAAAAAACTAACCCACACCCCCAGCCACTGATCCCAGCCTGCCAGGATCCGATTCCCCAGAAAGGTGTTACCTGGTTCCCTCCCCCACCCAGGCTCAGGTTACAAGAAATGCTGAGCTATTTCTGTGAACATGCTAAGAGGGGGCAGCCCCCCCATGAGAGCCAAACCCAACATTCCCATCCCCAGCCGGGCTTGGGTACAGTGCCCAGGGAAACTGAGGCACACACACAGGCTGTGTCTAGACTGGCAAGTTCTTCTGGAAAATCAGCCGCTTTTCCGGAAAAACTTGCCAGTTCTCTACACTGGCCGCTTGATTTTCCGGAAAAGCACTGATGATCTACTGTAAAATCATCGGTGCTTTTCCGGGAAAACTATGCTGCTCCCGTTCGGGCAAAAGTCTTTTTCCGAAAGACTTTTGCGCAAAAGGGCCAGTGTAGACAGCATAGTACCGTTTTTCCGCAAAAAAGCCCCGATCGCGAAAATGGCTAGATCCTGCCAATCTAGATGCTTTTTTCCGAAAATGCTTTTAATGGAAAACTTTTCCGTTGAAAGCATTTCCGGAAAATGATGCCAGTGTTGGAGCCTTCACACCAATTCTCTGCCCCAACCTGGAACATCCTGCACAGGGTTACAACAAAACAGGACAGGACGGTAGGAATCACGTACAACACAACAAAGCAAATAGTGAGTACAGTTCCCACTACATCACACCTCTCTTCCCAGACTTTGCAGGACGTCATATGTTAGATAATGTCTTATCTTCAGCCCACCCCCTGAAATGATGCCCCTCTTTAACACAGCTCAGACCGGTGGGAGCTGAGAGATCTGCGGATCTGGCGTGGCAGTGGTAGGGGGGGAGGAGAGACAGGGGGAGTGTTTGTGCAGATTCCAGTGGGGCAGGAACAATGTGTCCGGCGGGGAGGCCCTGAGTGCCACTGAACCAAACGGCAAACCGGGTATGCCAAGGGTGGAAAGCCTCTGGCCCTTAGGATGGATCTGGCCTGTTGCTTAATTTCAATGCAAGTTTCCATGCCATGGGCCGGAAGCCCTGAGCCTCTCCCACCTCTGCTGCTGGGCTGGACCAGTGAGCACCCTCAGTATTCTGCTTGCAGGTGCTGCTAACACAGCTCCCATTGGCCGGGAACCATGACCAATGGGGCCTGCGGGGGTGGTATCTGAAGGTGAAGGCACCACCAACCTGCTCCACGCCCCCTCCTACACCTGCCCCAGCTGCAAGCCCTCTCCCACACCCAAACTCCCATCCACAGCCTGCACCCCACATCTTGCCCTAGCCCTTCCAGCTCCCTAACTCCCACCCAGACCCCCCACCCCAACTTCCTGTCTGGACTAGCCCCCTCCTGCACCCCAAACTCCTCATCCCCAGCCCCACTCCAGAGCTTGCACTCCCAGTTGGAGCCTTCACACCAATTCTCTGCCCCAACCTGGAGCATCCTGAACCCCTCATTTTTGGCCCAAGCTGCTGCATTAGCCCACACCCCCCCATGGGGCTGTATGTGGCCCATGACTGACTTTCTCTGTGGGTCAGTGGCCCCTGGTAAATAAGAGGTTCCCCCCACCTTTGGATGTGGTGGAAACCACTTCAAGCCAGATGTAGCTCCAGAAACTGCTACCTGTGAGAATTTGCTCCCGGTAACTGTTCCTCACATGGGATTATTAAACAAAAACAAAACAAAAAACCCACCCTACTAGCTGAGGTAGCAAAGGTCTACAATTATCTGTTTCTTCACATGCTATATGGGGTGAGGAACTGCTAGCTGCAGGAATCTGATCCTTGTAGGAAGTTACTCAGATGGGATTGTAAAAAACACTCCCCCCCCCAAAAAAAATAAACCCCTCTGATGTGATCTAGCAAATTCCCAGAAAAAAAATCTTAGCGGGGGAGCCATGTTAGTCTAAAGCAGTGTTTCTTAAACTACGTTCCGCAGAACACTGGTGTTCCGTGAACAACTCACAGAAGTGCCATGACCTCTGCTTTGTTTTTGTAACGTCTTTGTTTTTGTCTGACCATTTTTTTAAAGAAAATGTTCCTAGGGGTTCCACATTAAAAAAAAAAGGAAAAACAGGACTATGTAGCACTTTAAAGACTCACAAGATGGTTTATTAGGGGATGAGCTTTCGTGGGCCAGACCCACTTCCTCAGATCAAATTTTGGAAGAAAATTGGCACGACCATAGATACCAAAGGGATACAATCACTGTTTTCTTCCACAATTTGATCTGAGGAAGTGGGTCTGGCCCAGGAAAGCTCATCCCCTAATAAACCATCTTGTGAGTCTTTAAAGTGCTACCTAGTCCTGCTTTTTGTTTCAGCTACACCAGACTAACAGGGCTACATCTCTAGGACTATACAAAATATATTCTCGTTTGGGGTTCTGTGGTCTCAAAAAGTTTAAGAAACGCTGGTCTAAGGGCCCACAGGACCACTGGCTGTTTTCAAATTCCTCGCCCTTTCCCACGCTCCAGGGCGTGGGAACCGGCTCGATAGAGAAACCGGGTCCCTGAAGCCTGGGGGAGGCACTGAAACAAACCGGCTCCTGTAAAACACTTTCTCGCTCTGCACCCGGGCAGAGTCACTTCCCAGCCCGCCCTGCTCCCCAGATCTCCCCGGTACCTGCAGAGCGCGGGGCTGCCCCAGGCTTTGGCTGCGGAGGGGCTCAGGGTTAAAGTCCCCCCGGGGCGCGCCGGCCCGGGTTCCCAGGGCAGGGGGTGGAGGCAGCCGCTGA